ATACCAAAACTACCCGAAATGGATTAGACGTGGTCGACGTGGAGGAAGTGTGACATGGCCTCCTCGATCTCCAGACTTGAGCCCGTTAGATTTTTTTTGGAGTTACATGAAAGGTCTAGTTTACTCAACTGTTGTAAACTCTGAAGTTGAGTTACGGGAGAGAATCTTCGAGGCTGCTGGGAAAGTGAGGGAAAATTTGACGTATGAGGTCACAGTTGGCGCAATTCACAAGCGAGCTAGGGCCTGCTTGCGGGAAAAAGGGGGGCACTTTACACCCAAACTGTGATTCCACCTTAATAAAAGTTGTTCTTCGGACGAAGTGTCATTGATTTGATTTTTATTGTGTGTTTTTACTAACGTATTGTGGTTTTTTATAACAAATTTTCTAAAGTCTAAACAAAAACTCTTTAGTTTGATGAAAGTGTAGTCTGGTCAATCATAAATTACACAAACCCTCATCATCAGTTGCCAGCTCATAAAATAGTAAGTAAAATTCATTATTTTTTACAATATCTGTTTTGGTTTAACCGTGATTTTTCACAATAGTGCGAACAAATTCACCATAGATTTGACAGTAGATAAATGTAGTTATACATCATTGTAAAGCCCTTTAAATAAAGACGTTTTTAGTAATATTTGTTTAACTCAGCGGAACTCGGTAACCGAGAAATAAATTCCTGAATGTTATTTAAATTTTTGTCGATATTAAAAATAATTGTTTAACGAAGAAATGTAAATAGAATATTTTTCCGTACCCCAACGATTATGTGTTATATCTGTTTAAAATTTTGTGAGGATCCTGAAAATGACATTTAAATTAACAATTAGTGCATTTTTAACAGAGTAATATAACCTTTTTCATAACAACTACAATAATTTTTGGAAAACCTTAATTTATTTGTTATTCCCTAACGGTTGAGGTTGGGAACCTCAAATGTGCGCCATTATGTCGCCATTACAATGTAGTTTGATGCAAAATTTTATTTAACACTTATGACCGGACACCCTGTATAATTCAAATCTCTACAATATCTGACCAAAAATACAATATGTCATCATGAGTCATATAATGGTTGTATGTATAGAGAGTCCTATGGTCATGCAGAGGCCTAACGTCACAGTGGACGGTCACTGTAGGTGGTCTTTAGCTAATTCCTGCGTTAAAACTGTCAATTTTTGTGTAAACTATAGATTTTTATGGTTTATTTTGTTTCTTACCTTGCTCCAACTAGTACTCTGTTGATATATGAGGTTTTAGACAGTGATTAATTAAAAGTGATTAATTTGAAAGATATTAACAAATATGTAAGGTTTGCATGAGAAAACTCGCTTAAATTCTTGTAAATCTAACTTTGTTTTTGAATAAGCAACCTATTGACTTTTTATAGTCTAAATTGGTTCTATACCATTAAGTATATAGTCCTCTAGTGTAATAAAGCATTTTCAAGCATTAAAAATATATAAACTGCAAGAAAATAAACAAATAGAGTATAATTTTAGCAAAAAAGATTTTGAGTATTTTTTACGTAATGTTTTTCACCCATTAAATATTATTTTTTTGTATAAGTTAGAATTGTATTCCATTTATATACTCTTTGTGTAATTAAAAATCCATAATTCTATTCAAAATTATTATATTTAAGTTTTTTCCCATTTTAAAGTTGAAATCAGAAAATCTGTGACGAAAAATCAAAGTTTATGTATTTTTTTCACCCATTAAATGAGTTTTCTTGTATAAGTTACAATTGTATTACTTTATACACTCTTTATGCTATTAGAAAAGTTATAATTTTATTTGAAATAATCATATCCAAGCCAAATTTAAGCATTTCAAGGTTGAAATCAGAAAATCTGTTATGCAAAATTATTTTGTACGTAATGTTTTTGACCTGTTAAATATGTTTTTCTGATATAAACTACAATTTTATTCTTTTACTACACTCTTTATGCTATTATAAAAGCTATAATCTCATAAAGAATCATAGTATTTAAGCTATTATTTGGTATTTATATGTTGTAAACAGTTTAATTTAAAATGAAAATTACGTAAAAAACACTTTATTGGTTTTATCATTTGATATTTCAAAGTGGTTCTATCTGTTGAAATAGTTTTATGCTTTTAAACTTATTTTTAGCTTTAAATTACGATAAATTTATCGTTTTTTTTTCTGGAAAAATTGGTTTTTAAGGTTGGAAAAGTCAGATTTACATGCTGATTGGACTTTTCTTCAACATAATTTCATGAGGATTACAAATCAATAACTATATTTTATCTATCTATTCTTTTTCACCTTTTAAATACACTTCAGAGGGTACACTGTCCATTGACACTGGTATCAAGGCGACCTCCCGGCAAGAATGTTGCGGCATTTTGTCTCAAATAATACCCTACAACTGGTTCAGTTTTTTCTTAAATCAGAGTTTTGGAGATGATTAAACATATACATCTTGTACTACTCTTTATGCTAATTAAAACTCAATTCTTACCTAATCCGTAGCTATTGTGGTTTTAAAGTTACAAAGGTTTAATGGTTTCATATTTTAAATGCAATTTTTATGAAAATAATATGGGTTTTTCTGTCATATGAGACTGTTTTGTGGTCTAAACAGTTGATACAAATGGTTGACTATCATGCTAATTACTTAAAATGACTCTTAATCATCCTAATCACTTATATGTGATTAAAAATAACTATTTACTTGATATATTGATTATTGGTAAGTTTTTCCAGTTTTTTTTCACATTTGACAACTAGTATTTACTCAAATTACATAAAAAAACAGACTCTAAACCTCAAATAACCTTAAAATACATAAGGCCCTCTAAATACATAACCAGGCAGGCAGGCAGATATAGTGCAAGAGTTCCTTATCTCTTATCAGGCTCACGTAAGGAAACCAATAGACTATATCCTTCATGTGTCTGTGCTGTGTAGAGCAAGTCCTTTCCCCCACTACTTCTCAATTTCACAGCACAGACACATAGAGAGAGAGTCCTGGGAGAGGTTAACCTAAAAATACCGACATGTTCAAGAGACACCCGTTCTGCATGCATTTAATTATTAGATGGTGTTTAACCCTTCCTGGACGGGTGACGGATATATCCGCATAAGTCTTTGGTGATAAAGGACGGGTGACGGATATATCCGCATATGGTTTTTGATGCTCCGGACGGGAAGTGGTTATATCAGCCTTCTTTTCAGATAGACTGGCAGGTGCTAATGCAGTAACCAGATGTTTCGCGGAACCAAGGCGCCACTATTCTGCTCTTTCCATGACTGCACTCTCCCCCGCACTCCCCCCTCTCTACCGCGCTAACCCCTCTCCTGCGCCTCACCCCCTCCCGCGCACCTACAACTACTCCTACGCTACCCCCCACGATGTTTCGCGCTCAACATTAGGTTGTCTCTATTTATTGTTTACATATTGTTCTTCATTTATTGCCTAACGTTGTCACGGTCATATCTTCAAAGACGGGTGGCGGATATATCCGCTGCAATTCTTCTCATCTGAGGATGGGTAGTGGATACATCCGCATAGTTAAACCGATAAAACAAATTATTTTGACATTATGATGTGTTCCACTGTGTTTCTTTTATGTATACTTGTATAACAAAACACAAATATGAAAAATTTATTTTGATTTTTTCCTTAAATTTTTTCCCGTCCTATGTCATGATTTCGCCCGTCCGGGAAGGGTTAATATTCAGGTAGGTTTTGATGCATAGTTCTTCTAAAAGCATACTGTATACAATAGGTAATAACTATAATGACATTTTCAGAATGGCAGCTAAGAATGAAAAAACACAAATGGTGAAAATCAACAAAGACGACATGCCTGGAATACCGCACATGTTTCAAGAAATGGCAGATTGCCTTGAAGAGATGGAAAGAAGAAGGTTACAGAATTTATGCAGGCCTACACCATTGGCAGTCAAATACAACGAGCAGCCTGCCATAGCAGGTTGCACTCCAGGAACGGAAATAGAAAACCAGAATATTGGACCACAACTGAAATCAACAAATACCCCAAAAAGTCTTGGCAGCAAGCAATCAAGTGCTCAAAAAAATTTACTAACACAGAAAATGAAAACGTTTATTTTGGAAAATCCAAATGCGTTCAAGGGGAAGGGGTTGGAGTTGAAAAACCAACCACTGAGTAAGGGTTCAGAGGTTGGACGCCTTGGACAAAATTTCCCCAAGCCCCCCCTTGGCCTTTCAGGCCAAGGACAGCCTTTTCAACCAAATGTGTTCAAGAAGTATCTCCCATCATCTTGGTTCACAAAGCCAGAAAAACCCAAAAACATGGAACCCATAGGAGAATATGGGATCCAAAAAGAACATCACAACATGGAAAAATCCATAGTAAAAAAAAACTGAAAAACAATTTTTTGAAACTGTTCAGTGTTGTCAGATAAATGTATTGTTATTTTTTATATAGTAGGGGTTTGAAAAAAAATAGATTAAGATTAATGTAGAATATACATTGACAGTTAAAAGTTTGACAAAGATGTTGACCACTCATTTAATCAAAACAAGAAGCTAATGTTGTAATTAGCTTGGACTTTTAAATTGCATACAAACACAATTTATATATGCAAAATTGCATCCATATGTTTACTCCATGTCACAAGTTTTCTGACCCATGGAAATCTAGCTTAGTTGAGCCTCCTCCAGGGTGAGCTGATGTCAATTACACCAACTTTTTGACCAAGCCAATCCAAACTGGCCAAGTTGAAGTTTTTGTAAAATATACCATCTTTTATATAACATCAATTTATCATAATATCGAAAACTAAGAGAGAAAATATGATTTGGACAATATTATGATTTAGCTCATTCAACTATGTTCTAGGTAAATAAAAAACATTTCTGTAGCTGGTCCATATGGATGGATTTCTGCTTCAGTATTCAGAACTCAATGCTATTACTTCAGTAGGCTACAGTTAAAGAGCTAAGATAGAGCAGGGTTGGATGTAGATAATGGGATTAAATAAAAGTATTTAAAAGCTATTTTAATATTTACATTATAAAATATGTTTACTTTAAAAACAGACAAAACATATTTTTAATTAATATTACAACATGACCGAGTACCATAGTAATATTTTTCATTGTTCTATAGTAGTAAGAGATGTAATTTAGTTGATTTTGATCATATAAACTTTTACTTACTATAATAATTTTCAGTTTTTACATCTATACAAAGTAGGTAACTGTTCTGATAAAAAAATTGCTTATAAATCAAAAGTGTTCATAATGTTCAAAGTAGATACAAAGATATACAGTTTTTCTTATAAGCTACTAACAGAACAGTTAGACTTAGGCATAGTCATGATGACTTGAATAGTTGAAATAATTATTAATTAGTTGACTAGGAGTTACACAATGATGAGGTAGAGGTAGAAGAAGAAGTAGAACCGTCTTTATCACATAGTAGAGTCAAGTATTACCAACACCTTGCCTTGGAACTAATTACATTGATCCTTATTAAATATTATTTGTATTTGTAATTTGTTATCTGATAATACTAATATCATCCCATAAAACAGGGTACACAATATTATTTTGGACAAATATTACCGGCCTTCTCGCTATGCAAGTTCCCCATAATACACAATGTTTGTTTTACATAAATATAAAAGGAAACTCTATCTCTTCTTCTACCGTACCCTCTGCCTGTACTGATTACTATGAAAGTCCTAAAGACTTAAATTTATTTCAACAAAAGTATTGTATATTACGTACATTTAGAAACATTTTATGATAGGCTATATGACATATGGCTAATGGTAGAGTACGTTTAGCAATTATTTCATTCAGGTTTACTTTAAACAAACCACTCCTACTGAGTAGTAAAAACTAACACTGACAATGTACATTCAACTGTTTATGGACAAGTGAGGTTGGAGACAAAATAGTAAAATGTATATGTGTATAAATTGTCACACTATATTAAATGTGTGAAAAATATGTTTGAAATAAAATGACAACCTCTTTATGTTTATCATCATTTTAATATTTTACTAAAACCTTTACTATCTTTTGACAGGTATCCTTTCTCAAATAAATGGTGTATACACAGAATAGGTATTTTTGCAGTAACATAGGCCGGTTACACTCATATGCATCTCGCACGGTGCGACTAGCATTTTTCTTGCTACTAGCATGCAGCTTGAAGACCAAGCTGTGTTAATCAATTGGAGCCTGCACACACATATGTGACTCGCACGGTGCTACCAGCATCGTGCAGCAAGCGTGCAGCGTTCATCTTCGGTTGGAGCATGTGCAGAACACATTTCAAGTCACATGGCTATTGCAAAACTCATATGTATTCATTCACATACAACATACTGCGAACTGTGAGAGTCGCTCCTAACACACACAGAATTACGCTATCTACTATTTTTTTGTCACAGTGGTCTCTAAGGTCACGTATTTTATAAATGTGTCTTGATTCATGGGGTACAACTTCTGGAACTTCTCTGGATCATCATGTATTGGCTACTTTCAACATTTTGCAGCCAATAAGGGGGTACTCAATATTTTATTTACCTTACAGCATTTCATCAACCGATGACAACGTTGACATTTTCCAATGAACTTAGCGCCAAAAAGCCTCACCTCTCTCATCTTGCTACTAGCAGGTGCCACGACCATGCAGCGTGCATGCATCTCCCACAATGCTACTGGCATCAAAAATGCTAGTCTTTCGCACTGTGCAAGATGCATACCTATGTGTTTAACCCGCCTTAGTTTGACTAATTTTCCTACAGTCTTATGCTATGAATCACTTTGGGTAGCTTAGCCTGAGCATAAATTACTGCATCGTGAATCGTAGGGAAGCACAAAATATTGGGTGCTTCGAAAATATTGCATCTCTGTAGAACTTCATACACTGGTCCTAGAAAAAATTTCACATAAGTAAAACACATAAATAAGTAATAATCCTACAAACATTAAAATAGAAAATGACAATATTGTATTAAAAAACAAATCATAAAAATTACAATACATAATTATTTTCAATTTTTACTTAATCTGCTTAGAACTTCAGTCAGTTATAAATGTGTGTGTTATTATTTTGTTTTATAGTTTACCCCTATGGTTGCAACTCTTATTCCCTTATTTTTATAGTATTTATATAGTATTGATAAAGCGCTGATGACTTATACCATATTTAAATCCTATACAGGGTGATTGGTACTCAGTGTGACAAATTTTTTTTGTGTAAGTACAAAGTAAATGCAGTGTGATGATGCATATAAAAAGTTCAAAGTCTAAAAAATAGTTTCCCAAAGAATTGTTTTATGTTTTTCAAAAATAACTATGTTTTTAAACTTAATACAGCTATTTCTCAATTACCTGTAAATAGATTTCAGTAGATTATGTCATTTCCGCGTTCTACATTACATTTTGAATAAGAATAATATAAAATGACGGGGGATCAGTTGTAAAAACTCCATAGTAAATAGATTCAAAGATAAAAATTAAGATGTTTGATAAAAATTAAAAAAAAAAAACATTAGTCTAGTGCATTTGTTCACACCCTGTATACAAGAAAGTGTCGGAATATGTTAAAAACTGCACCATTTTATAAGCTTTCCAACCATATGCTACACCATTGAGCTTTATGTCTGCTTGTGTACGCTTTAGTGGTTTGAAGGCTACAAAACATGGTTTCTTTAACATTAAAAACATAGAAAGTTGCCATGTATTAAGCAAAAGTGGTATTTTTGTTTCAGCTTGAACAGTCAAAACAGTAAAAAAGTTCTCTGTTATCTGGTATTCAAACCACTAAAATAAACAAAAGAAAATCTAAATCTCAATAGTGTAGCATATGGTTCGAAAGCTTATAAAATGACGCAGTTTTTAACATATTCGAACACTTTCTTGTATACAGGGTGTGAACAAATGCAATAGACCAATGTTTTTTTTTAATTTTTATCAAACATCTTAATTTTTATCTTTGAATCTATTTACAATGGAGTTTTTACAACTGATCCACAGTTATATTCTATTATTCTCATTCAAAATTTAATGTAGAACACAAAAATGACATTATCTACTCAAATCCATTTACAGGTAAATGAGAAATGGCTGTATTGAGTTTAAAAACATAGTTATTTTTTAAAAACATAGAATAATTCTTTGGGAAGCTAATTTTTAGACTCGGAACTTTTTATATGCATCATCACACTGCATTTACTTTGTACTTGCACCAAAAAACTTTTGTCACACTGAGTACCATATTTATATTTTTATTATTGGTGTAAGTCATGTGGAAAATGTCACATGTTAGAAAAATGCACTTAAAGATTATTTTATCATTTTCCCTTTAAAGAAATTTTAAGTTTAAAACTGGTTTACAGTAGAAATGCAAATATTTTCCATAAAAATAAAAACCGACAATTAGTAAAAACTTTAGAAGTTGAGTGCTTTCAATCAACTTCCTGAATATAGGCTATCATATAAAAACATTATGATGAAATTATTTTTTTTTATATTGACGTTTCAAACTCATGGCCCCCACAAGGGTGGGGCTGGTGCAACTCTGGTCACAGGGCCCGGGCCCTAAGGGGGCCCGGGCCTACCCATTTTTTTTTATTTTTTTTCTTTTTTTCCCCATTGAAGATCACTTTACAGCAGATCATAAATTGAAGATAAAAAATAATATATATATTTTACAAAAAACAAAGTTAAATAATTGAAAATGTATTCATTCTAGATTCTAAGGTAGTTTATATTTAAATACTATAGGTGCGTAGGTGCGTATGTACTATACAACAGCAGAACAGCCAGCTCGGGCCCCAGTGGCCGGCTCCACAAACTCCATCTACCCCTTCCTCCCGCCAGGCGCCTAGCCACTCCTACCTCATTCCCTCCATAATAAACAAAGTTTGGTTTTATAATTGAACTGATAGTTTCAAGAATGAATCCTTACAGTTATAAGTTAAAATAAAATGTGTAAAGCATTGAAAAATTGACATGTACTATGTACCATAGCTAAGGTGACCAGACGTCCCGTTTTAGGGGGACTGGTCCGTCCCGACAAATCCTCTCGGGACGCTTATTTGTCCCGTTTTATCAACATTTGGTCCCGGTTGCACTTTTATGTATGGAATATTTCAATTAATAATTGCAATCTAGGTTATTTGACACAAACTTAAAAATTCTTTACTTTTGGAGTTTAAAAAATATGAAAGATTGTAATAATTTTGACCTAAGTTTTCTTCCCAATTCGCTCGGTATACTGTCTAAAGCATGGATTGGATAGCATCGGCATCGACAGCATCGGTCATTCTCGGCACTACTCGTGCACATTCGTTTTTCTCCGTGACTACTCGCGCAAGTTCGGCAGCTCACAGGCATCCACTCCCAAAAAATGTAGTATTGTTAAAATTCTTGATGAAAATTGTCACTGAATAAAATATGATTTCATTGGTGTAAGTTGTTAAACTCGATTTACGTAAGTTTTTTTCCTACTCCATATTACAAAGTACAATTATAGCAGTTAAGATAGCCAAACCCTTTTACAGGGAAATAAAAAAGACAAAATATTAATAGGCATGGAGCTTTTGTGTATTGATATAATAGTTTTAATTGCTGAATTCCTGTAATTTTAAGTCTTATAAAACTCATTGAAGAACTCTTTTCTTCCTTAAAAAGGCTGCAAAAGTGCCATTTACCACTCACAAATTTAATACCTAGATTGCCTTAAAAACTCACTAAAATACATGACATTTTCACAATTTTCCCCGGACCCCCCCTCTAGGCTGGGGGGTATTCCATACCCCCCCCGACCCCCCGGTTGGTAGGGGGGCCCGAGCCGGATCCTGGTGACAGGGCCCACAATTAAATGTGGGGGCCATGTTCAAACTAGAATTATTTATCATGCATACAATGCATAATTCCCTTCGATCATATGGTAAGTTCAAATGAATTTAAAATAACATTGTATAAAGGGATTTATTTTGTCAAGGTCCTTTTATAAAGGGTTGATTGTAGTTCTTTTTATAATGACTCACAGGAGTTTTCATCCTAGGATTTATGTAGACTAGGCAGACAATAACTACAAAAAAAAATAACTATTCTTAATTTTGGGTAGGAAAGCATTTGAAAAATCCTGCATACATTGACCCTAAGGGTAAAAATATGTATGAAAAAAGGATAAAAGTGATAAAAGAAAGGAGGAATGTGGCCATTGAAGTGCATATTAAGGATTTAATACATAAATTTTTTACAATAAAAATGCTTTACATTTATTTTAGTTTATCAAATTCTGAAAGGAGCACTTTGGAGAACTGCGTCACATAGGGTTGTTGTTATTACATTAACAATTGTAAGTGTATTATTGTGTAAATATAAAAACTACTTTGAAAAAAAGCGTAAGCACAGATAATAATGACTCTGAAACTGTGTTTTTTTTTCATATTAAGTTTAAAAAACACTGATAATCTTTCTCTTTGTATTATAGCGCTTCATAGAGTTGTCCTGAATGAAATAAGAGGTTAGTTTTTTTAACCAAGGGCCGGTTGTGAGTATAGTATCTTAGTTTGTGTGTACGCCACCACGAGGCACCTTGTGCTTACTGACATCATTTGTGAACAGAGTAGTGGCATTTGCAGCTCTAGCTGTAGCTGATGTGTAAGTTTTTCTGTGTGTTTAGAAAACTTTAAAATTATTTAATCTCCCGCCTCATTTATTGATATGCTTTATTGATACTAATGTAACGATAATAATGCAAGCAACAATAACTCTTAGCATATTTTAACTATGCAGTGCCCCCCCCCCCTTCCTGTGAAAACATTCACAACATACACTAAGGTTGTGGCCAGTAACTAGAATATGTAACTGAGAATGAGTTAGTGGATTTGCTTGTTTACCAGAAGCTCCGGCTAGATACAGGTACTGGGAATTCTCAGACAACTCAGAGGCAAGACTCTGCAGCACTCCAGCTCCAGAAGGATCCACGTACTGCATCCCCGTCAGATCCAGGACTAGATATTGTACCTGGCACAACATCATCATCTAGTTACCAAACACCTATTAGACACCGCATCACCTAGGACTAGTCATGAGGTATGGTTGAGGTTGATCTTATGGCAAACATTGAGGCTTGTGTCAAAGCATGCTAATGACTTTTACATGGGATATATATTATATTGCTGTGACTGAATGGTACAGAGCACACCTCAAGCTTTAAGTATCTCAGACTTGAAAAACTTTCTGTTTTAAACCATTAATTCTCTAATTCAGGACTTGTTATGGTATATATGCTACAAAGCCGGGAAGTTGGTGTTTTTGGTACACTCATGCATGATATAGTTCCCGTACTTCAGCTAACTTTACCGGTCCCTTTCTGTAAACAATGTTACATACAAACAATGTAATATTGTTAAAAATTAGTACAGAAGGCAGCTGTGTGTATGAGTGTTTGTGTATTGTGGTGAAAAAAATGTTAAGTTAGCTCTTACTAACACTATCTGATATTACATAAAGACTACCAAAAACCAGAAGGGTAGGTTTTATAGAAAAGGTTCCAAACATCCGTAGTAAATAAAATTGGTTCAACATATAGACGCTATTCAGTAAATCAGTAACTTATCTTAAACTAAAATCCAAATAACTTTGCATGGCAAGAACTGTGACATTTATTTTATTCTTAATGGTAAGTTTGTGTGTGATGTTTATAATCTTTTGTCTATGAAAACCATTTAAGATTCAAATTTCAGAACTTGAATGTTTTCAACTAAAGTACCTATTATTTTTAACCCACAATATCTTTCCTGTACTTTGGAAACAGAACACTAAAATGTCCCAACTATATTTCGTGGATTTTATTCCTGGGTATTTTAAGAGTATGAGAATGGATAGAGTACCATAACCTTTTTCCAAGTTTTCCTAATTTTTCCGCTTATTTGGCTTGGAAGGTAAACCTACAGTACTTTAAAACTCAACTGAAAAATAAATAACATAGAATTTGATATCTTACCTCCTGTTCAATTTCTATTGGTGAAACTTTATTACTCTTGATTTGATTTAATTGTTTCAAGTGCATCTTATCTTTGGTAGGCCATCTATTCATAACTTTTTTTATTTCCTTCCTAAAACACCCCCTATTAGCGAAGTTTAGTCCTCCAGCATAGTGGATTATACAGATACCACTTATATCTTCAACCTGTACACAAAAATATTAGTAAATTAAATAGTCAAAACACTACTGTAATGATCAATAATAATGGTAAATGCTTATAAGAGTACATCAGTAGATGATAAAACAATTTATGGGAGCAAAAAAGAATGTCATAATTGTAAATTCAATTTACAAGAACCGTCTATAAACAGTGAATGGAAAATGGAATAAGACATTTTGAAATAATTTGAGTACAAGATAATAAAATGAACTATATTATCAATTTACAAGGTTACACATTAAGGTTTTAATGTGTTTGGACTCTATAACTTACCTTCCCGTATCTGTCACTCTCCACATAAATATCTGTATTGGGGAGTCGAGAGAGTTTGTATATGTAGGGTCTCAGCCCACGGAAGAGAATGGTAAGGATAGAGATAATAAGACCCACTAGCAGCCCAATGTCTATTTCAATCACGATGACTGCGATGTATGTGCAGATCCAAACTATACCATCCAGCGCCGACATCTGCCATATCTTGACAACATCCTTCACTTGGAGAAGAACTCCCTTCAAGGCCACTATGATCAGACTGGCCAGAATACACTGTAACAGATTGATACAACGTTTTACAACAAATAAAAAATGCAGTAGACTACAGTATTTGTGTTCTTTTATAAGTATTTTCATATTAAGTTCTATGGTTTGAGCTATACATTGTGAGTGATGTGATAAACATGTATTTTGTCAGTGGCGGTTCCAAGGGGGAGGGGCTACAGGGGCTAAACACCCTTACACCCTGTAAAAATTAATTGAAACATTCATTTTGTCCTTAAAATTCACAATATACCAATATACAATATACAATATATAAAAACGTACAGTAATGTATTTTAACAAACTAAATAAGCGATGGCAGGATTAGTATTAAGTTCCACGTAGAAAAACTTTGTGGGGCAATAGCACGACGAAAAAAAAACAATATTACGCTATAAAAAAAAATACGCATCATCCAATTTTTCCAGCAGTCAGCTGTTAAAATGCTAGGCTGGGGCAAAGGCGAGCGAAAAAAGGAGGACGGGGACGGCTGATTTAATGTTTCTAGTTGTAAAATTGTCTGCTAGCTACTGACAGATATCAGTCATCAGCGGCAACGCCAGTAGCCTACTATTTGATTAATACTATGTTTTGGGTTGTCTACTGAGACTAGATAATTGCTGTCGTTGGCTACTTTATATATTTTATGTAATGCCGAAAACTGCGACAGATCCATGCAATGGACAGAAACGCAAGGAGAAAACAACGTGTCTACTTGCTTGCATGATATATAACAGGTGAAAAGGGAGGTTTTTGGATAATTGGACACAGTTCTAGACATTAATAATAGCTTAAGATAGTCGCCAAACGGATTTTATGAGGATATGCCCGTAGCCTACAGTATGTTTTGAGATTCATTAATGTGATTGTCATAGTTTAATTTTAAAAATGTATACTTGCTCATAACAAACAACAGATGAAATGGGAGTTTATAGACAATTGGACACAGTTTTAGGCATTAAAATTGTTTTTGAAAGTCATCAAAAGGCTTTGAAAATACAAAACTTTACTTTTCCAGGGTAGGACTCCTGGTCCCCCCTATTTTATTGGGAAGAGCTCCACACCCCCCAAAAAAAAACCCCAGTAGCCCCCGTTGACAAGGTCCTAGAACTGCCACTGTAGGTACAGTAGGTATAAGTGTTTCTTGTTTCTCAGTAGGTACAACACTGCTTTTCAGAACAACTCTCATCATATAATAAGTAACAATAACTTAACTAACAAACAAATAAACAAACATAGAAACTTATTTTTTCCGTTATTATTTAACCAATTTTGTCAACCTGTTTTAAAACATTTTTTTAATGCATAAGACATATTGTTGTACATTAGGTTAAGTTAGTAATAATCTTGACAATGTCATCTGTTTTTAGCTGTGCTATGGTTCAAATAAAACGTTGATGTGACAATAAAGAACTATTTATTTATTTATTTGTTTGTTAATTATTTAATCATTTATTTATTTAATTAATAAAAACAAGAAAAAATAAATAAAAACTAATCATCATAGTGTACAATTCTTTAAATTTTCCTCTAAAAGATGGTAAGGAATATTTTTTGAGGCCAGGTGGAAGGTCGTTGTACAGCTTTGGGCCAAAGTTTCTACAAACTTTCCTTGTAGGGTTGAGCTATGCTACATGTATTTCAACAGGTTTTATATACATACTCAGATTAGTTTTACTTATAAAAGATTCTGCCATCATGTAAACCGTAAACCGTTCTAGATCACATGGCTCACAGGATGGAAACAGAATCTCAGAGAAGATAACTGACGTTTTTGTGATATAATTTAAGTTTAAAATGAATGAATGAATAAAGTTTATTCCAAAAAACATTGGCTACAACATTGATTATAAACTAAATAAGGAATATTAGACAGAAACTTTTGTCACTAAAAATATATGTAGGCCTACAAGTTTTAAAAAAGCCAAAAAATATAACAATAAAATAAAGGAACTAGCAGACATAGGCAGTGCTACCTGTGCGTCTGCTAAGTTGCTGTCAAATAGAAAAAAGAAAAATAATTGAATTTTGGAATGGCAATAAAAAAAAAACAATAGGTCGTTATTATTATTAGTTAAAAGTGAATGTATTTCCATGAACACAGTGCTGGTAAGATAGTGCCTTATTGATTTTCGTGGTGGCTAGGAGAGATAGAGAGAGAGAGTGTGTGTGTGTGTGTGAGTTTCGTGTGTAATGGTGGTAGTGAAGAGAGTGATGAGTGGATTGTAGGGTAAAGAGTGCAGTGGGGTGGAGAGTGGTAAATTCAACTGCGGACAGTCCTAACAAAGTGCCAAGGTCAGTCAGTGCAAAGGTTGGATCAAGTGCGCCGGTAGTCCGCCGTGATAATAGAATCGGCCTCGTCGATATTTAAACTGAGTAGGAAATCATTGACGCGAAATTTAAATACCTTTAATGATTCACAATCAAAAAAATTTAAATCCCTAAAAATTTTGGGTCGCCGGATCACTGCCCCCCGGAAAACTACCCCCCCCAAGCAGGTTTCTACGTCATATTGACGTCAGAGACCGGGGGGGCAGTTTTCCAGTCACGGACACTCAAATTTAGTTGTCAAACAATTCTAATCTAACCTAACCTAACCAACCAAACTTGCTGTAACATTTCGAAAATCTGTTTTATATTCACCACATGCCTTTTCTATTATCCAACGGAATTACTCGAATTAAAATTACATAGCGTGATTTGTCTAGGGGGGTTAGTATTCCAGTCGCGGACACGGCTTCCATATTGGTTAGTTAGCAGATTTTGTGACGTCACGTTTCACCTGGGGGGGTAGTTTTCCGGGGGATAGTATTCCGCATCCCCAAAATTTTGCATATGTTATGATAGACTAAGTGTGAAACATAGTATGAATTAGTCGTAGAAAAAGTATAACTCACATGAATTGTGGTGATTCCAACTCTAGAAGAATATCTCGTATTATATAAATGTGAAATATTTTGAAAAATGTTATTGTAATTTGTATGGATGTTTATTAATATTGATTTTACATAAACCAAATTTTACTACATTTCACTTGAGTAAATTGATAAGAAGGATAATTTTACTACAATACTAATTAATTACTCAGCCTCAGAAAACGCTCAAATATTTGACCAAAGGATAGAACCATAAAGGCTAGGATAACAACACTGTAAGCGAGGAAGGTTAGAAATAACTTGGAGGTCTGTGGAATAGGAGATTTCAGAAGAATGAAATGGGAGAAAAACATAACTGGTTTAGAATAAAATTAATAAGATAGTGTTCTTGCTTTTGCAGGCTGAATTCCTCCAAAAGACGCTAAGTACCACAGCTACAGCAATTTCAACATTCACTGTAATGTATGGGGTGTCAAGAGCCAAATATTTCAAATGAAAGTTTCAGCTATACTAGATATATTAAAACCATAAGGACCTGCAAAATGCTAAATCGCTCTTGAATTTTTCTTATAACTTTTTACTACATCCTAATTTTGTTCATAGAAATAACAAAACTCAAATGAATGATTATTTTGTCCCCAAGGGGAAAGAGTTTTTTTTTTTTAAACTCTTTCTCTACATTTCATTAAGTCCCCCAGGCTTCCAAATATTCTCTGTGTTTTATGTGTGTTCTATATGGCCTATACCTTTACTTATTCAAGAATTCAATTAGCTAGCTGCTACCCCTTTATTATGCAATAATTCAAAATCCTGGCCTTAAACCTTTCCTTGAACAAAACACAGTGGATAGGTATAGTGTTCACATACTAATGACAAGGTTGTCGAATTCATCCTGATAATGCCAGTGGATCTTTGATGGTTTGGATTAAACCCAGTTGTTCACAATCATTTGGCTGTTAATAAATGGTCCTGGATAAATAACTACTTTATCTTTGTTAGTGATCAAAATATCATCTCATCTATTATCACTCATCCTTCAGTCATATTTTCCTTAAACTCCCATTCTAGTATGTAGATATTTAAAGATGATACTTACTCACCCTCGGCAAAGGCTCAAATACTGGACCAAAGGACAGAAGCACAACAGCAAGGATAGTAGCACTGATGATGCTTGCTAGTTGTGTGCGACCTCCCACAGTGTGTTGGATCATACTGCGAGACAAAGACGCTGCGAAAGGCATACAAGAGAGAAAAGAGCCCAACAGATTACCTGTGCCCTGCAACAAGCAAGTCAGGTGGTTGGAATGGCAGTTGTGTGCGAACTCCCACAGTGTGTTAGATCATACTGCAAGACTTTCTGGTAAATTACATATAAATAAATGTAAACCTTTTTCCACTAGTAACAAGATATACTATTTTCTTCGGTTTAACTGAATGTTATATGATTTGCAGAATCCCAAGGGCACAAGTTGATTCTATGATAGGTATATTTTTCAAAACCCTTTGCTTTCATAATATTAAGTTTAATAAGCTGTGAGGCAGTGGAGGATCCGGGGGGTGAAGAATTCTCCCTTGAAGAACTTCTTCTTAGTTGAAAATTTGCTTGTGATTGCGGCAATATCAAGAACATATGTCTCGACATTACGGGCACACCATCCTTGTCACCCGTGAAGGCGGTAAAATCCAGAACATCTCCCGACATCACGGGGACGTCATCATCGTCAAATGCGTTTGTGACCAAATCGTGTGAAAATCTACTGAAAACATTGTTATCATCAACCTACCAACGTTGAAAAATCAACATCATCTCTCGCTATCGCGGGGACATCGTTATCGCTACTAACGGTGGTGGAAAATGATTAATTTTAGAAACAAATTTTAAAAAGTTTGTTTAAAAAAGTTATCATTGTACAAAATGCTGCGGCCATAGGCTGTGGCCTAGTGGTAAGACAGACACTGATAGTACTTGTATCTCATGATTGCAACAAAATCCTGAAGATATCTGTAAGTGCTTAGACATGATGGCAGAATATTGAACATCGCTGAACACCAAGCCTCGTTCTTGTCACCCAATCGTGGCTAAATTATTGCATAGCAACCAATTAACAAACAAAAAATAATAATTAAAAAAAACTTGACTCCCAACCTTAAAACAGGTTTAAATTTGAACCCTCAAGAAGTGTAATGTCAAAAACCTACACAATAAGTGAAAATATAAGTGCACCTCTCCCTCAACAAATACATGGATCCGCCTGTGAGGAGTTTTGGGAAAATTTAATAAATAACTACATGAGATATTAACATAAAGCGAGAGATTAGTTAACACAAATGAGGAGGGGGATTGAAAGTCCCACTGTATAGTGACAAAAAAGATGAAAAATTATTATTTATGGATGAACTAGACAAATTCTAACGAAACTTAGCAAATATCTTCAGCCCAGCTCTATAATGAAATACTTAGGAAATTCAGAAGCAGGGAAAAGAGAGAAAACTTTGCAGAGGTCCATGGGAAAGGTGATTTTAGAAGCGAGGAGCTGAAATTGGGGGCAATTAAGCACCAGATTTAAAATCAAGCGCAGTAGATAGATTAGGTTTACGTTAATGTTCTACATGGGTATTAAGTCTTAGTAATTACCTGGGCTAGAAGCTCCTGGTTAGCATTCACTTCGTAATTCATTTTTTGTGCAAAAATTAGCGCCATAGACATTGTAATTATATAAGCAATGAGTGCAATCACAAAGCTGTCCAGAGCCACTGTAGGGAGTAGCTGGAAGTTCGGGGCATGGAACTCTGGGAGTCTGCAAAGCAAAATAATAATGCATATTCATTGGTATATTTTCTTTTGTTAAAAACAGTAAGGCAATATAATATATGATATAATTATATGTTTTAAATTTTACAAGTTTTAAAAACCCTTATGAAAACAACTCAAAAAACTGGTAAAACTTTTTCAAATTTAAGTAGCAGAGCTACTGAATCTACTATAAGAAGCTTCTTGTGTTATAATGCATTGTCCTACTGATGGATATTGATTTATTAACATGATTTATTTTGCTATCTCCTTAGATGTTGCTAAGCTACATGTTTTGTGGTGACTGCCATATCTTCAGGTTTATCCTCTTCTTTTTCCTCATAGTTAAAATTGAATATAAAAACACTTTGATATAGAAATTTTACCCAAAGACTGGTGCCCACACACGCTTAGTCGGGTCAGACTCTGGCAAGAACTGTAATGCTGAGTAGGTTACCGCCAGCCTGACCAAACACCGCGATGCTGATTTAATCTTTGTGTTGAATGTATCTGTGCCAAGGTGTGACTTTTTAATTCAATTTCAAATATGAGAAATTGTAGAAGAAGATAAACCGAAAAATGTTGCAGTCAGCCAAGAAACTCGTAGTTTAGTAAGACATCTAAGGATATTGCAAGGTAACAAAATACTTTATATTCCTATGTTACTCTCCAACTCCACACTGATGACAATACATTACTGAAAGCTTGTCAGACTACACAAATAGCTTTTTATCACAATACAAAGAATCTAAAGGTAATATTTTACTTTTAAAAGGATTCTCTTGTAAAACATTTAGATCACTGTGTCATTTAAATCGAAAATTGAGGTGAGTCGGTGACTCAGTCAATACTGTGGGCGAGAGTTAAGTAGTCCTCTGAGCCAGAGTGATATGCAACAATGTTTGTATGTTGCCGCACGGTATTTGCAGGTGCTCTTTTGGTTTTAACACAGTGAATGTGAGCCCTGACTGCCGTGTGGAACATGAGTAACTGGTCCGGAGTGCCTTGCCATCGAGTAGCAAGCGCCTGCATGTTTAGAATAGGCCAGGGCTCAGAGGACTTCTTAACTCTCGCCTACAGTAGTGTGACAAACTGTGGAGCCGAGGCAGCAATATGTTTTGGGTTCACGTCAAAGTGGTGCCACTCAAAATTTACGTACAAAAATTGTTTGTACCTGCTCACCCCTTGCTTTTTGTACTGTCTACGCCAGTGGCATTTTAAAAGAAGCCATCACAAGCCCTTCTAAGGGAAAGCAGCCAATGTCTTTAAATTATACAACTAAAATTTGCTCGATAAGTCCAACACATGGGTGTTTAAGGCCCATGCGGGGTTTGGAAAATGCAAGGGCAAAGAGGCTGATAACCCTTTTTTTAGTAAATCTTAGTTATCAAATTTTTTAGTAAAATGTTTAGTTTCACAATATTTCCAAGTTATGTAAATTGTTTTATATAGGAATATTATTATTTACTAGCTTAACTTCACAATAACTAATCGTATGGATGTTAATCACCCGACAGAGATGTGGCCGACTGTAGTTAGGTTGTATTTAATGTGCAAGTCCCAACATGTTGAGGCAATTGTTCCAATCATGACAGCAATCAGCTCTACAGGGACTGGGAACACGGACCTCTTACTGACCCAGGGCTACCAACACAACAAAACATGTAACTCAAGTATATAGATTCAAGAGAAGCAGAAAGTGAATAAGTCAATGAGTTAACTATATTGGATAGTTTATGTAAGAGGAGACAAGGGTTATTCATAAATGAGGTCTTCATAAATGATGAGAGCTCCAGACGTGACCAAGTGAGCTAGTTAAAATCTGACACCACCACCATGTTATTTACTTACCCTTACTAGTATTCACATCAAACAAAAATTCTAAGATTCATACTTGGTGGGACCTCCCATGAAAAGACCAATTGTGGGTATGTCGCTAAGCCATGAGACTGGAGATAGTAAATGTTTTTATTTACATCTGATTTGTACAGTAAGACAGATGATTTGTTTTTGTGATTGTCAAATTATTAATTGTTTGAATGAAAACTATCAAACTGGAAGAAATAAGTGTATTTTATTCTTTTATCTAAAACTAGATTTACTCCACAAAACTAATATAATTCATGACTGATATTTACTTCTTATCAAGAAACCCGAAACTGAACTACTGTACCGATCTTTATTCAACTAAATTATATAGACGCCTCCACGCTTAAACTCTTAACTGATCCAGAAAACTCATTCCTTACTATTTTCGCCTCAGTGTGAGTGAGAAACAGCTAGAATAATAGCAAGGGAAGTAAAGAACACGATGCTGATGAACTAGCTTGCTTATCCATGTCTGGAGTTTGTTGAAGACCTTGTGTTATATATTTTTTCTACTTGCATTCATCAATAACCATATGTTATTTGAATTAATTATTTTTTCCTGATTTTTTACTTTTGTGATTATGAAAACATTGTTCAAACTACAATATTCAGTTTCCAACGCTGATATAATTATTCAAATACTAATTATTAGTTATTAATTAATACAAGTATTTTAGAATGGGGAAAAGGTATAAAACGGCAAGATGGACCAGGAATAATCTTAAATATTTCTACAAACACTTGCAACGGCTCCTCAAGTCATGTTTGATTCACAATCATCGAAGAACTTAACATTGATTTAAAATTTTGACCAGTTTGACAGTACACAAGAAACCCTTTCTCATTACAAAGAGATATTTGAAAACTACTTAAAGTTGAATAATGTTTTCACAGACTAAGATCTCTGTGCCCAGACCTTTAATAGTCCAGGTTCTTCTGGCTCCTACTTGTTGTTTACCTTATAGTTGCCAAAGAACTGAGATGAAGTATGAAGAGCTTACTACATTAATGCCAAATCACTTTTCCGCTCAAAATGAAATTGTCGAACAACATATATTCTTTTCTCGGATACAAAGCGCTGATGAGTCAATTTCTAGTTATGTCACATCTCTCAAAAAGCAAATTTCTGCTTGCAATGTGGCCTGTTCTACTTGTAATGCTTCTGTTTCTGACCCATTCCTCAGGGCACAATTCGTAAGAGGAATTGGGGATTCTTCCATCAGGGAGGATCTTCTTCAACAGAAGGATCTAACATTTGACTCTGCTGTAACACAAGCTTTAGCAATTGAAGCTTCAAAACTGAATTCCAATGCCATAGACGACAATCACACGTCACATCAATGCAGACTGCACAGGTCTCGAGTCCGCTGTAATGCCTGTAACAAAAAGGGCCACATTTCGAAGGTATGTATCAAGTCCCTACTATCCAAACAAAGGGGTTCAAAATCAATTAAATGATGATGACAATTTCCAGTCCGTAGAGTCAAACGATGATACTATTTACGGCGTAGGTCAAATTGGAAACATTTATGACATACACTTGTCAGACACTGATAAGTTTATAGCTAAAGTTCTTATAAATGACCGACCCCAAAAGTTCGAGGTTGATTCAGGTTGCGCCCACACTCTACTTCCTAGAGGAGACTTAAATCGTCTTAACATTTCAATGGACAAACTAACACCTACATCTGTCAAATTTCGCTCATACACAGGGGAGCTACTCTCTCTGTTTGGTATTACTTCAGTAAGAGTGAAAAGCAAAGGGACATAAACTATCGAAGAGCTATTTGTTGTTCCTGATGAATGCAGTCCTCTCTTGGGTAGAACATGGGTACGACAATTGCAGATTAACTTCAATAATATCGATGAAACACCTCACAGTGACAATAGTAACTATATAAAAAACACCAAACTTTTGTACTTAAACCAAAAGTTGAGGACGAAGTTGGACATTTTTAAACCAAGAGTCAATTCAACTGTTCAAAAGGTTAACAATCCAGTGACTCGTTCTTTCAAAGACTGAGATAAGTTTCTAGTGCGCAGGGGAGAAGTTTGGAAATCTGGCAAAGCTGTATGTGACCGGCTCGGTGTTAAAGAAACACACCAATCAGCAACTGAGGCGACCCGAAGTACCATGAGAAACCGACAGAAATAAATGACCTATTGACTTATTGACTCCACAAAGAAGGAATCAGAAAAGGATCGAAGTCATTCAAAGAAGAACCATGTGTCATAAAATACAAGCTTGGAAAAGTCTTCCAAGAAAAAGAAAGTTTGATTTAATAAAAACATAGAAAATGCAGACTTTACATTTTTTCCACCAGTCATCAATCAGACACAAGTACATATCAATCAGACACAAGTACATTGTATCTACTCGACCAACACCTTCACGACGACATACATCAAGACAGATCAAACGACCAAAACTATACACCCCATGAACACTTCCTCAGTGGGGAAGAATCTGTTATATATTTTTCTATTTGCATAACCATATGTTATTTTAATTAATAATTTTTCCTGATGTTTTACTTTTGTGATTGTGAAAACATTGTTCAAAATACAAGACTCATTTACAACACTATGCTGAAATAATTATTCAAATACTAATTATCAATTATTAATATAAGTATTTTATACCTTGTTGACCACGACCAACGATCTCAAATTTCATATAGGTAATTTATGGAAAAGCTAAAAACAAAAAAGTTATTAAATTGTGGTAAAAAGATATTTATAAATCCTTTTACAAGTTTAATTCACAATAACTCACCTTAATAACTTTATTGTCAAATATTAAGAATGAAACTGTGAACAAAGATATCAAAGCAGCTGCCACATTGATTGTTGATAAGTTGTTAAATATTCCAATGTAAGTCTGAAAAGCATAAAACAGATAAATGTAGCTTATATCATACAACGTGTATATCAATACCAACCAATAAGATATAAAAAATATCATCTTTAAGGTAACAATTCAATGGTGACTCATTGATGAAACTGGGTTCATAGCATATACTCTGTATTAGAACTTTACATAGTTCTTTATTCAAACAGTTACACAAACACTTTTTGTTCAAACAGTTATCAGCTTTGCTGTTATTTTTATTGCGTTATTTAATCTAAAAAGCAGTTAATAGTATGGGTAAGTAGCTAATTTAACACATTTTTAAGTAGGGAAGGAGGAAAGTAGCTATTTTATCATAGCTCTCATAGTAAGTAAGACCTTGATCCTTGGCCATTCCATTTTCGTTTTAATCCCTCAGAAGCCAAAACCACAGTTTTTCATGTTGTTATTCTTTCTGTAGCAAAACTAAGTAGACTTATTGATTCCGTGTTATTTAGGCTAAACTGGGCGTGAATCTATATATAAGTCTTTTTTACTATAAACGTGTTTCAATTTCGTTAGTATCACATAATTTTAAAACATTCTTTTTTTAATGTTTTCATTCAAATAATTTAATATAATCAATTGACAAATTAAAACTCCAAAGCTTAATGAAATATTTGTGTTTACATATACTGTGAAATCACAACAAAGTGCTACGATTAGTTTACTTTGTTGTAATGTGTATGTAAGAAACTATATTGATAATTTTTTGTAGTATATACTACTTGTAGTAAACTATGGCATTTGAAAAAAAATAGCCTTAATAACCTTAGCGTTAATGTCTGTAGATTAATAACTGAGAGTTGTACAAAATATCAAAGATTTAAGCTATTTTACTATGATTTACATTCATGTTCCCCTATCATTGCCATTTTGACCTGAACCCGCCCCTATGAGACCCTATGTTTACCTAATTTTTACAAACTAAAAAAATTATGAAAAAAAACAATTTATGTTACAAAATGTTTATGATGAATAATTCAAATTTATTTTAAAATAATAACATTGTAAAATCCACAATTTTGTGCATACATTTTTAAAATTTCGTAAGTAGGCAACCCACGAAACCCCTTTTTATAGGGGTTATTCCTTACCCTTCAGGACCCTCAAACCCCCCCCCCCTCCCCCTAAAGAACAGTTTGATGCCAGAAGGTAAACCTAATGAGAGGCCATCCTATGGATGCTATTTGTTGTCTGGTAATGTACGTACACTTTCCCTCCAACATACTCCATAAAACCCTAAATTTGGCCGCTTAAACCCAGTAAAGGTAAAGAAATGGTAGAGGATCAAAATATAATGAAAAGAGATCATTAAAAAAGCTTTACTTACATATGAAATGAAATGAAACATGTACAAATCAATGTTTGATTGAGGTTTTTAATTTTACTGGAGGCATATATATCCTATGTTACAGGAAACATTTATCCATGTATTGTAGGTAACAGATAGTTAGTCCATAATAGCAATTCCAAGAATACAGTTTTCTAATAAATCCTATCTCATAGTCCAAGGTCCCTTAGACAGTCATAAAAAACGTAATCATCCCATTTAAGTAATTTATGAAATGAAAATACTTGCATATATGATTTGGAAGTTTCCATTGTATTTAGGGATTTTCATCCCAAGAAGATCCTTAATCTGGGAAGTGAAGACATGGATGGCTGCCCCAGCAGTGAACCCATTCACCAGGGTGTCTGATAGAAGGGAACACATTACTCCCATCCTGAACAGGTACATCGCTAACTGGAACACACAATTATGGTAAAAAAAAACCTGCTGAGTGGTTAGGTGTTTTTACCATAGGTTCGGTAATGGCTTAAGTAAATTGCTGGATAGTTTTGAATACCAACAATTTTAACTTATTTTTGGTTTTATATATTTTTCTGGTTTGCCTTTTTTAATTTTTCTGGTATACACATTTGCTGTTTTCAACTATTGTGCTTCAATTGGCAATGACCAGTTTGTGTACTAATCTTGTTATGTTCTAGGTTCCTTCCTCTTCCTATCTGAAGACAGGATGATTCTAAATCCGGAAACGTTGTAAAACTTCTGTTTTTACTCATCAGTCATGAAAATTGTTTGCAATCATCCCTATAACAAGAATAAAAGAGGGTCTTAATACTCACCAACATTTTATACTATTTTTCACGTATGGGTTATGTATTTTGCATGAACCCAGATGGGGCTCACATCCACTAAACTCCTTACGAGATCGTGGGAACCCTTATCATCATTAATGTATAACTTTTTTGTAAGGGAGAGGAGGTAAAAATGGTTTTAAACAAAAAGATGGCCAGCCTGTAGTGTGAGGCTCCTAAGCTTATCAGACAACTCACTAAAAAACCCCTCTACTCTATTGGACACAGACCTGGGATTGTTTGTCACATAACTTTGTAAAAATTTGAACTTAATCCAATAAGTGAGAGGGAGGTGGAAGGAATCATAAATTCGTAAAAAACCAAGTATTCTTGTGGCCATGACGAAATACCAATCACAGTGATTAATGGTGTTAAAAATAACATTAATAAAATTCTGTGCCATTTGATAAATTCTTCATTTGTATCAGGAATATTCCCAGAAAAATTAAAGCAAGCAAAATTAATTCCATTACATAAAAAGAACGACACATCAAATGTATCAAATTATCGACCGTTATCTATACTTCAGTCCTTTTCCAAAATATATGAAAAAGCTGTATATCTACAATTTTATGAATATTTGGAGAGTTTTAAAATGATGGATGAAAATCAACATGGCTTCCGAAGGTGGAGATCTGTTGTCAGTGCAGCTGTATCTTTTGTTGAAACCGTGATCAACTCAGTGTGCAACAGGTATATTCATGGACCTTTCAAAAGCTTTTGATAGTGTCAAACACTCTAAACTTCTAGAAAAGCTTAAAGTTCTGGGAGTATCAAGAAGATCTCTTGATTGGTTCACTTCATATTTAACAAATAGGTCTCAATATGTAGAATTATCTCATCTAACGGATAAAAATAAAGTAATTAAATCATACTCAGCTTATAGACCAGTCAAATTTGGGGTGCCTCAAGGTTCTATTCTTGGGCCTTTGCTCTTTTTGTGTTACTTGAGGGGCATGGAAAATGTGATAATTCATAAACAAAATTCAAAATTATGTCTCTACGCTGATGACTCAAATTTTATTTTATCAGCTGACTCATTGGAGGAGATACACATTTTTTCTTCTAATGAACTTAATAACATTGGAGACTACTTACATGATCATAACCTTATTTTAAATTCTGAAAACACTAAGTTCATAACGTTTAAAACACAACAAAACTGAAAATCTTCAGATCCAACACTAGAATATAAATCACAAAACATCAATAGGGAAAGTAGTAAAAATTTTCTAGGTTTAACAATAGATGAGCACCTAAATTGGGATGAGCGCATGTTAAAAATATCCTGCTAAAAATTAATTCTGGAGTTTATGCTCTATCAAAAATGTCTTTTTATTGCAATATAAACATTTTAAAGAATATATATTTTGCTCATGTACATTCCCATATCCAATTCGGCATAGCATTATACGGTTCAACAAAACAAAGAAATATGGACTCTATTTTAAAACAGCAAAAAAAGCTATCAGGATAATGCTCAAGCTAAAGGGGGATGATTCAGCCAAACAACACTTTACACATCTAAAAATGTTTACAGTTTATGGACAATATATATATGAAGTCATTCTTATTGCTAGAAAACAAAGAGTTGAGTGAAAAACCGATGACAAGCCACAGCTATGACCTTAGGAAAAAAAGTGGGGTTGTTGAACCTCATAAGCTCAAGTTTTATGAAAAAAAACCGTCCAATGCAGACCATAGATTTTTAAAATTTATCCTCTAAAACATAAAAAAAGAAACAGATTTTAATAAGTTTAAAAAATTACTCAAATATTATATATTAAATTTAGCTATTTATTCTATGGAAGAGTTCTCCACCTCCCTGGCATAGGTAGCATTAAGTTATTTTAATTACCGGTATGTATTTCATTCTTAACTAGCTAAAGACTTGTTGTTATTATTTTACTTGGTTTTACTAACATCATTGTAATTGTATTTCTTTTTATTGACGTTATTCATTGTACCACCTTTGTACAAAAAATATGAATAAAGAATATGAATATGAACTTCAGGTCAGGTCAACATGTGACCTAAGCCCTCAGGGCTCGTGCTTTTTCTGGCATTCAATTTCCTTATGACCTAGACTGCATCCTGGTCAAAGTCGAGCTTCTTGGCTCGGAGAATACCCTGGACAAAACATGACACATGTCCTTACACTCCGTCATCATTGGGATGACTGTGTCTACTGACAACTGTCCTACATGTTGTTGAGCCTCCAGGCGTGGCTCTTTCCAACGCTGGCAGTGCAGGAAAGTGTGCTCCGCGTCGTTAGGAGTGCCCGAGCAGTAGATGCAATCGGGTGACATGGCTTTGCCCATCCTCATCCTGAACAGATGACAGGAAAAAAACGGTGACCCGTCAAAAACCGGGTAAAGTAATAATCCATCTCACCGTACCACTGGTCAACTTGACTTGCTGAATCAATCTCCTGGTCCAATGTCCCTGTGTCACGTGTGTAAAAAAACAAAAGCGGATATCTGGTTAACAAAACGTTTTTTATGAACAATTTTATTCTTTAGTTTTCTCTTTCTAGCTGGTGTATGGTAAACCCATAGAACAATTTCCCGGTGTTTGGGGGTGTTTCTATTTACTTACGGGACATCCTGTATGTATGATGTTTTCAATTGTATATACCTATTTATTACATACACCTGACAGTGATATTGTAACTGTATGCATACAAGCCTCCAAAAGCCATCATGATTATACGAGAAACTTATTTTTTTTGCTGCCAAAGACCAGAAATGATTGTCAAGAGGTCAATTGTGAGAGGAATATAATTCGAAAATTAACATGACAAAAGAGTAAAGCTGCATTTACACACACACACAGTTGGCGGGCAGGTCACTTGCTTCAGGTAACTTAAAATACACTTGAGGCAAGTAACCTGACACATAGCACAGCTCAATCGATAGTACCTGTGACCATTGACAGGCGTAGTCTTACCATTCTTATGTTAAATTTGTTGACAGTTTTATACTAAAAATGAATATACAAGTTAAGGGTGCGCTTTACCTCAGCTCGGAAATCTCAGCTCGGGCTTCAGTAGCTATGGAACCATTGGACAGCGCTGCGAGAAGCGCTTGCAGACGTTTCCAAGATTACTGTTAACTGCACTCTAAACGGCTTATAGTAGTACAAAGACCAATCTATAGTTCTGCGTTTTTCAAATGTTTAAAAACCGTTTTTTTTTTTTAAGTTAAGGCTAGTTGAGAAGACCCTTTTTTCTTTTACTACAACTCAAGTTTATAAGGTTTGTATTTAAAATAATTGATATATAGAAACGCAGAACTATAGAAAATTTCATCCTCTTTAATATGAGACCTTAGCTTTGATTCTACCTCCAATGTAGCAGGTGAAAACAGAAATCTTGCAAACCTTTGCATTCGGTTGCGTGTCAGGGGTAAAGCGCGCCCTTAAATCTTGCCACCAACAGAGGGTGGCCAATTACTGATTTATGTTGAATATGTAGACTTTTTTTATCCAGGCCGGCAGTTAGCATATGACTAGATATGGGCCCGAGAGATAATTGCACTCCCTCCCCCTTCCTTGGGGGGAAATCGTTTTCTTCCATGCGCCCCCAACTAACCTCGTGTGCTCCTGGGCCCAAGCCCACCGGACCCATTTACTAAAGCAGCCTTGATTTAATTAACCCAAACTGAAAGGACGCTTATTGAAAGATATAGTGTCTGTTTCACATTAACCATCATAAATAATAGTAACAAACACTAAGGGAGTAAAAATAACTTTCACTGTAGCACACACTGTGAGTGGTTATCAATGGTAGTACTCACTTGATACATGGCAACCATGAATGTGACGGCAGTTGCCACCTCCATGGGGGCATACTGGGGCAACTCCGTGACCGTAGGACTGGTGGAGTTAGCAGCAACTAGAGACAACGCACCTCCAGCATACGAGTGTTGAGACACTACCTTGCCAGTCATCAGACATATCACCGCAAACGAGCCTACATCACACATACACTATTTAGAATTAAAACTGAATTTTCAATTGTTCATCTTTTGAAATTATAGAGTTTGCAGATTCAACAAGGAATAAATAAAAAAAAATTCTTAAATTACGAACCAATTGAATTACGTTTTGATAGTCTGTATACTACTCACTCAAACAAAGTTGCAGTGGTGTCAAAGATGTTGAATTATCACCCCTACAAAATTGTATGCAATTGAACCTCTTTTTAAGCTTTTACTAAGAAAAACCAAATCGACATTTGCTGCAACGTACAGACTTACTTTGTTAATTAGCATGATGTTGGAAAGTAATCATATTAAACTAGTATGTATACATTTCCATCCAAAGATTGAGTTCCTAGACCATTGAATATGGGTTCTGTAAAATACTACTCAGAAGTCGGAGCTCGCCTTGATGTAAAATCAGCAGTTTGTTTCATAGTCTGTATTGTTGATATATGTTGTCATTGCATGCGATTCTTCACTAATTTTAGGGTAAATTTACCAGTGTGCACTTTATTTGAAGTGAATCGTTTAGCTTCTACTGTTGGGAAGGGTTTAGGTTGTTGATACGACAGGCAGTAGAATAACCTATAAACAAAGAGAATGTATCTCTACCTACTCAAATGTTACCCAGCAATAGACATATCTGGAAATTGTCTTCAGCTCATCCATGACATAAAAAAATGATAACAACACACACACCTAGATCCTTAAAAATACATAAGGAAACATATGTTGATATATTTGTAGAAGGGTATATTTATTATTTTTTATTAATTATTTTGTTATTTAGGCCTATTTGTTAATTATTTTTTATACATCTAAATTATATGTATTATGAGTCTTGACGTGAATGTCCCATATAGACAATTCTATATGGAAACATATTTAATAACCTAATTTAGCCCAAGGTGCCTCACCACTCCTATATTTTATGTATTGTCATTTTAACATTCCAACTGTAGACTATGGATACAGATTCTCTTAACTAACTGTTGAAATGTATTGGCTTGGAACAATAATTGCAAAACAGGACAGATCTAAGGTCGCCGGATAGGATTCAGCAAATAGGTAGTTCACGTTCACCATACTAAACACAGACCTGATTATGTAGACGAGGTTCCTGAAAAGACCTGGAGACCAGCACTCAACACAGGTATGTGTGTTTACAGTATCTCATGATCTGCAGGCTGTTCATATTTAGCATAAAACCCTTATGCATTTTTTGTGCACGTAATGTAAATCCATTAACGTGTTATACATTTATTTTCAAATATTGATAAATGAATGTTTTAAGTCTTTTCAGATGTTATGCTTTTTGAGTAGGTATTAATAAATATCACATATAGTATCTGAGTAAATTATGCAACTTTTACTATATTCTATATTATAATTAAATAATATACAGCTAAACAGCATTTTTTTAAACCAATAATTTATCACTGCATACTACTTTATTATGAATAATTCCATTGAGTATTTCCATATTGTAAAATATGACATTAAGATTTTTAAGCGGATTGCAACATCGTATTCAGCGTAAAATCTAGTTTGAAATGATGGGTCACAACACAACCCTACCTTTACATTTGAAAAAAACTTTGTATATGGCGGATCCAAGATGGCGGCAAAAAATGTATACCCAGTCAAAATGAGTTAGGCCTCCTTACTAATGATCTGGCCTGCTCCGGATTTGATATCTTAGAAATGTAGAAAAAAGTAGGGTGGGGGACTAATTTAAAACTCACCCTGTATATATCTTAATAAAAAGTAATTAATTGACTCAGAACTCAATAATAGTGTACTAGACTTTCTTTACCACAGACATCAAGCTCAGTTAATAAAGGCATCGTGTCTAAACAAGCCAGACTATTTACCACTCATTAGTACCCAGATAGGTGTACAAAAAGTGCCATAAAATACCCCATGTATAACTAAGATGTATCTGAAAGACAAATGTAATTTTCACATACCTAAATTAAGAATTTTCATAGGGTTATTTGCTGTAGATTATTACTATGTAAAGCTAAATCAAATACACATGCCACAGTTATAAACTTGATGTTTGCCATATCATAACATAAATATAAGATATCTGTACACACCCATTGCTACATGCCTTGAAGTTCCTAGGAATGCGTAAACCAAAACTGGAAATATAGCCATGTAGATTCCAACAACAGGGGGCACGTTCCCAAGAAGTGCATAAGCCATACCTATAACAATTCATGTTTTAACATAAAAGTATACATAGTATTGTCAGAGCCAAATTCATATTTTTTTCAAAAACCTGACAGTGTAGTTCAGCTGCAGAAGCAAATGGTGTGTTTCATTTATATATACTACTACAGTACGCACAATACGAGTAACGTTTGCGCACAATGATTTCAAACACGGCTCCAACGACTTCCTCTAAATTGTTAGAAATATCTTGGTTTGAGTCTAAAAAACAATATCCTTTCTAGCCTATGTTCTGTGTAAATTTGTTTTTCGTTAAAAACTTTTAATTTAAAGTTAGTGTTTTTACATTGGTCTTATAGATATCCAAGTATCCGAGACAGCTTTACGAAAATATAAATAAATTGTATTCAACCGCAAAAATTATACACTAATGTTGGACTAAAAGTCTTCAGGAAACGAAAGTCTTTGTAGTTTTCGACGATGCGCCGCTGGAATGTGCCCGTTGTTTGACGATCCCACCTGCGGATTATAAAATAGAAACGGTATAAATCTTAAACAAACAAATAAACCGAAAATAAACACGTTTGTATTATATTTTACATGCAACTGTTAAAATACGTCCAAAACAGATGTATAGATTATTAGTATTAGATTTAATCAAGTGACGTCATTCTTTTAGGTTTTTGATCCATACCGTTTCTGTTATAATAACCATGTTGCGACGCGGAGTCCCGCGATTCCCATGACAAAAGACCCCGACCTGAACGAGGAAAAATAAGTCGGTCGTCCGTGCGAGCGAATCCGTCGCCCCAAAAAGTTTCAAACTCGTGGATTTGCATGAGCCGACACGACACGAGTTGCATAATTGCATCTAGAGCTAAAAAGAATTAAAAACTGTTAATGATACTGAACAATCAAATTTTTCCTGTAGTAAAACAAATAGCCTATTTGATTTATTTTAACTGGTGTTCAATGACTTAAGTGGTATTCTGTTTTGGGAAATCTTCTGACCTAACAATGGTTAGGTATTTACTGTATTTTTGAATATTAAACTTTCATTGGAAATCTGTTTAAATTCCGCATAATTTTGCTTGCATAAACCATTAAAACCCAGTTAGCTAGCAGCTGACGTCAATTGATGTCAACTGATGCAACTGTCATCAGCTGATGTCAACTGATGCAACTGTCATCAGCTGATGTCAACTAATGCAACTGATGCAACTGTCATCAGCTGATGTCAACTGATGCAACTGTCATCAGCTGATGTCAACTGATGCAACTGTCATCAGCTGATGTCAACTGATACAACTGTCATCAGCTGATGTCAACTGATGCAACTGTCATCAGCTGATGTCAACTGATGCAACTGTCATCAGTTGATGTCAACTGATGCAACTGTCATCAGTTGATGTCAACTGATGCAACTGTCATCAGTTGATGTCAACTGATGCAACTGTCATCAGCTGATGTCAACTGATGCAATTGTCATCAGCTGATGTCAACTGATACAACTGTCATCAGCTGATGTCAACTGATGCAACTGTCATCAGCTGATGTCAACTGATGCAACTGTCATCAGCTGATGTCAACTGATGCAACTGTCATCAGCTGATGTCAACTGATGCAACTGTCATCAGCTGATGTCAACTGATGCAACTGTCATCAGCTGATGTCAACTGATGCAACTGTCATCAGCTGATGTCAACTGATGCAACTGTCATCAGCTGATGTCAACTGATACAACTGTCATCAGCTGATGTAAACTGATGCAACTGTCATCAGCTGATGTCAACTGATACAACTGTCATCAGCTGATGTCAACTGATGCAACTGTCATCAGCTGATGTAAACTGATGCAGCTGTCATCAGCTGATGTCAACTGATACAACTGTCATCAGCTGATGTCAACTGATACAACTGTTATCAGCTGATGTCAACTGATACAACTGTCATCAGCTGATGTAAACTGATACAACTGTCATCAGCTGATGTAAACTGATACAACTGTCATCAGCTGATGTCAACTGATACAACTGTCATCAGCTGATGTCAACTGATACAACTGTCATCAGCTGATGTAAACTGATACAACTGTCATCAGCTGATGTCAACTGATACAACTGTCATCAGCTGATGTCAACTGATACAACTGTCATCAGCTGATGTAAACTGATACAACTGTCATCAGCTGATGTCAACTGATACAACTGTCATCAGCTGATGTAAACTGATGCAACTGTCATCAGCTGATGTCAACTGATGCAACTGACATGTCAAACGCTGCTCCCATTTCATCCCACAGCTTCCTTGCCAACGAAGTGTTCTTGAAGTTGTCTTTATCATTCCATAATGATAACCGACACTAAACTTCACATATAAAACTTTCAATTTGAGTGTCACTAAGCTTTTTCAAAGCAACAACGTCCTTTTAGCGAATTTCCCTATAGGGAAGTAGCTATTACCGTAGGTGGCACGGCAAGACCTAGACCCGGGACCGATTTACTTTTTCATTTTGATGTCCCCAGAGGCCAAAAACACCATTTGTTCAAATTTATATATATATATATATATATATATATATATATATATATATATATATAGACTTAATTATATATATATATATATACGTCCGTGAACGCGATAACTTGAGTAATTTTTGTCCGATTTTGATGAAATTTGGTTTAAAGGTGTAAAGCGGGATAAACTTGAATGAGTTCGCGAACCAGCACGATCGGATCATGGGAACGGGGCTTTACGGGGGGGTTTTATGGGGTAAAAATTGGTTTTTCTCACTTTTGACCCTCAGAACACAAAATTTCCCGATTTATCTTTAGACCTTTTTAAAGAGCTTAAAAAAACAAATAATTTAGTATATAAAAGTATTTTTGTTCGATTATTAGTAACGGAGAAAATTAAAAAAATTGTTAATTTAAAATTCCCATGTTATTCTTATGGAGAATATTGTCAAATGTTGTAGTTTGCTTGTTTATGGATATATTTTGATCAAACTTGGCAAATTTATTTATTTTCTACTAAGCTATCAATATTTTACTCAAAAACACACTTTATTAGTTCCCTTGTAGCAGCAAACCTAGGTACTCGTTAAACATAATGTTATTAAAATATATTTAACTGAAAATCAATTCAGACAAATGGAAATTCGCTTAGTCGGCAGGTTTGCTGCGGCGGGGGTATTTCTTAATTTTACTGGTGGTCCACGTGATTCCAGCTCCTCAGACATCTTGATCTAGACTGAAAAATGTCTTTATATGCATAAATAATGTTATCATTCATTTATGTTAGGAAAACGGGAATCAGAAGCTACTTGTGTATTTAGAATGCCTTATTGGCAGATTTTATAGGTGTAATTAATTCTTCAAGTGAAAAATATCCCGAGAAAGTGAAATCCCCCTAGCCCGAGCCCCCATCGGCCGCCTTAAGCTGGGTTTTCCTAGACGCGGAAGCGGAGAGCGGAGAGAGGAACGCGGAGAGCGGAATTGAAATTAACATGGCATTCCGCTCCGCTTCTAGGAAAACAGTAACATTAAATTGCCTAGACAAGTGGAATCCGCTCTCCGAGTTCCTCTCTCCGCTCGCCGATTCCGCGCCTAGGAAAATCCGGCTTTAACCACCGTTATGGAAATACGGCCCTGAGTGTTACATAACTAGTACATATTTCTATTGGCAATTAACTATATGCTTACCCTGGGGTATATTCATGACAGCTACAGTGCAACCAGAGATGATGTCTTTGATGAGGTCATGTCCCCAGTTGTATTGCCCTAGCCACGTGATGGCAGGTACTAGTGATACTACACTCTGGCCTGGACGACATGACATACATGGCATATCAGCAGCTCCAACTGTAACAGATATGATGTCTATGATGAGGTCATGTCCCCGGTTGTATTGCCCTAGCCACGTGATGGCAGGTACTAGTGAGACTACCCTCTGGCCTGGACGACATGACATACATGGCATATCAGCAGCTCCAACTGTAACAGATATGATGTCTATGATGAGGTCATGTCCCCGGTTGTATTGCCCTAGCCACGTGATGGCAGGTACTTGTGAGACTACACTCTGGCCTGGACGACATGACATACATGGCATATCAGCAGCTCCAACTGTAACAGATATGATGTCTATGATGAGGTCATGTCCCCAGTTGTATTGCCCTAGCCACGTGATGGCAGGTACTAGTGAGACTACACTCTGGCCTAGACGACATGACATACATGGCATATCAGCAGCTCCAACTGTAACAGATATGATGTCTATGATGAGGTCATGTCCCCGGTTGTATTGCCCTAGCCACGTGATGGCAGGTACTTGTGAGACTACACTCTGGCCTGGACGACATGACATACATGGCATATCAGCAGCTCCAACTGTAACAGATATGATGTCTATGATGAGGTCATGTCCCCAGTTGTATTGCCCTAGCCACGTGATGGCAGGTACTAGTGATACTACACTCTGGCCTGGACGACATGACATACATGGCATATCAGCAGCTCCAACTGTAACAGATATGATGTCTATGATGAGGTCATGTCCCCAGTTGTATTGCCCTAGCCACGTGATGGCAGGTACTAGTGAGACTACACTCTGGCCTGGACGACATGACATACATGGCATATCAGCAGCTCCAACTGTAACAGATATGATGTCTATGATGAGGTCATGTCCCCAGTTGTATTGCCCTAGCCACGTGATGGCAGGTACTAGTGAGACTACACTCTGGCCTGGACGACATGACATACATGGCATATCAGCAGCTCCAACTGTAACAGATATGATGTCTATGATGAGGTCATGTCCCCGGTTGTATTGCCCTAGCCACGTGATGGCAGGTACTTGTGAGACTACACTCTGGCCTGGACGACATGACATACATGGCATATCAGCAGCTCCAACTGTAACAGATATGATGTCTATGATGAGGTCATGTCCCCGGTTGTATTGCCCTAGCCACGTGATGGCAGGTACTAGTGATACTACACTCTGGCCTGGACGACATGACATACATGGCATATCAGCAGCTCCAACTGTAACAGATATGATGTCTATGATGAGGTCATGTCCCCGGTTGTATTGCCCTAGCCACGTGATGGCAGGTACTAGTGATACTTCACTCTGGCCTGGACGACATGACATACATGGCATATCAGCAGCTCCAACTGTAACAGATATGATGTCTATGATGAGGTCATGTCCCCGGTTGTATTGCCCTAGCCACGTGATGGCAGGTACTAGTGATACTACACTCTGGCCTGGACGACATGACATACATGGCATATCAGCAGCTCCAACTGTAACAGATATGATGTCTATGATGAGGTCATGTCCCCAGTTGTATTGCCCTAGCCACGTGATGGCAGGTACTAGTGATACTACACTCTGGCCTGGACGACATGACATACATGGCATATCAGCAGCTCCAACTGTAACAGATATGATGTCTATGATGAGGTCATGTCCCCGGTTGTATTGCCCTAGCCACGTGATGGCAGGTACTAGTGAGACTACACTCTGGCCTGGACGACATGACATACATGGCATATCAGCAGCTCCAACTGTAACAGATATGATGTCTATGATGAGGTCATGTCCCCGGTTGTATTGCCCTAGCCACGTGATGGCAGGTACTAGTGAGACTACACTCTGGCCTGGACGACATGACATACATGGCATATCAGCAGCTCCAACTGTAACAGATATGATGTCTATGATGAGGTCATATCCCTAGTTGTATTGCCCTAGCCAGGTGATTGCACATACTAGTGAAACTACACTCTGGTCTGGACGACATGAGATACATGGCATATCAGCAGCTCCAACTGTAACAAAGATGGATGACAAGGAAGAACAATGCAAATCGGAATTTTTACTTGGGACTTAGAAATAGCCTGTTGAGTTTCCAAGATGACTGATTATATCTTAAGCCATGACATGTCAGAGTTTTTTGTGTTTTCTGTTTTTTGTATAGTGCGAGTGCTGGCTTTTCGCCGGAACTCGGTCGGTTTGGTTCGGGCAGCAAACCTGCAACCCAGAGTCAATGTCCGCCTGACACATGTGCCTCATAAGGCCCATGTCTGTCGTCAGTACCTGTCAGAGTTTTGGGTTTGTGTTGTTAATTTACTTTTCTCACCATCTAGTCACATTTTGTACTGTGTTTTGTCCAAACCAAATCTTCTGTAACATGTAGTTTAGCGGGTTGCCGACGTCGGATGAGGTCCCGGATGGGAGGCTTTAATCAGCTGCTATCCTCGGAGAGGGTCGCCCGAGGAGCCAATCTTTCGGGCTGCCAACCATGCTGTCGCTCCGGGGACCATTGAGCCGCCCTCCGCAATTTGCCTTCACAAATGCGTCACCGCCGCCCACCACTATTATCTGTATACACAAGTTGTATACTGCAAGTTGTAAAATGCATGAACATTTTTTAAACGGACTACATATGAAGGGGCCCCAAAATTTATTTATTTGCCTATCTATTATTTATTTTATTGTTATTGTTAAGTATTTATTGTTTATTTGTTTAAAGTTTAACACAGTCCAGTTACCTAACTTTTTCTCTGTTACCAGCTAGTTGTAAGTCCAGGAGGGTACCTTTTTGAGAAAAGTTTAAATTGTCTAGTAATTCTTTGGATGGCTGAGATTTTTGTTGATGGTTGATTTTTTTTAATTATAGGTTTTGTTGACCTTTTGTCTTGTCTTGTAATTCACCCACGGCCTTTCAGTTTTTAGTTATGGTTGTGGGGCGATTACTCGCTCTGTCATTATGGGGGGGGGGGGGGGAAGCTTCCAATAGTTGCTCGACTGGGGGCGGTGCGAGAGGTCGGCTCAATCTCCTAATCAAGACGCATGGCCCCTGATAAGCAGTTGTTGATGTTTGCTGGTACAGGTTGCTGCGTTATGACGAAATGATCAGATGAAATGAAGGATGAAGGGTGTTGAATAAGGACACCTTTAAGATTATTACTTGTGGTTCCGTCCATTTGGGACTTTGCATCCTGGCATTCTTCTTTTAAGCATAAGGAAGAAAGACTATTTTGGATATTAAGAGGATACCTAATTACATATCAGTAACTCTCATTCACTATTCTACTACTCGATATCTAATGAGACGTTTGAATATTTCTTAGGACCGTTCCGTAGTGAAAGTTCAGATCGAGTTTCTAATTAACGCAAAAACTAGTTGCAACAAGGAATTGCATTAATTGAAACTAGTAAACCTAATTAGCTTGATCCTTTCTCTGTTCTTCGTTTTCCTTCGGTGAAACCCCAATGATGGCTTTGTTCACCACAGCAGAGAGGTACGTTTACGAGATGTTATGTTTATCCACAAGGTTTGATGACCGGCCGGTACTGGGTCGGGGACATAAGCCATGCGGAGTGACTAAGTGACGGAGAGCGGAGGTGAGTTTACACCGTGTCGCCTCCTCTCCGACTGTCACAACAAATCCCCGTCCTTCACTACTGAGTCGGAACAACCACTTTATTAGCAGAGAAATAAAGCAATTGGCGAGTGTGCGTTATCATGAAATAATGGCAATGTTACTTCATGTAAATATCTTGCCACAAAGGTTTAAAGAATGTGATTTTGTAAACTACCTAAGGGACCAAATGAATCCGAAGACTTCTGTCTATCTAATAACGATTTCAAATTTAATATTATATAGGTATTTTAATATTATATAGTTATAGGTATTTTTTTACAATGGGTCAGTATCCAACAAAGTGTTACATGTTTTTAACGTATGAGGCATTTTCTCTCCAATGTTTTGGTTGCTAGATTCTAATAGAGATATAGAATTTTGAAGCTGCAATGCAAATAAGATAAGTCCGTTTTACGTCTGATAAATAAAACAACATTGTGTTTTTATGAAACTCTTACTCCCCATACAAATCAGTACAGTATACTGTTCTGGTGGAAAGAAAGATTGTCGACCATTTTACGTGTTGAATTCTGACAAAATGGTATGCTATTTGGACAGTACGAGAGGGTCCTGTAGTATTCAATGTCAATGCTTGCAAAACCTGTTCCTAGTCAAAAATTCGGCTGTCTCCTGAGACAATGTAAGCACATTCAAGTGAATCTGATTCAGTGTACACTCGTTTGTCTGTATTACGACGATAATATTTTAAGACTACTCTACTTGAAAAATTAGGTTGGTTTTTCAATTAAATATACCTTTATAACTCGTAATAATTTATCTAGTTTATCTTGAGCTTGTGTTCTTGTGTTGACACCCGGGTTGTTTCTCATTCCTGTTTTCAAAATAAATAATTAAATAATCGTACACATGTTTTAATACATATGTTTTTATATATGCATGTTTTTAATGTATGAGGATATATACATTTTCTCTCCGATGTTTTGGTTGCTAGATTCTGCTAGAGATATAGAATTTTAAAGCTGCAATGCAAAATATTATAAGTCTGTTTTATGTCTAATAAATAAAATAACATTGCATCTTTATGAAACTTGTACACCCCCCCCCATACAATGCAGTACAGTATACTGTTTTGGCGAAAAGAAAGATTGACGGTGTTTAAATTATCAGAGCTGAACATTGATTACGATAGCACCATTAATTAATCAACAACCCTCTACTTTTTTAGGTTTAAGTCATGTGACCTAATACGATCTGAGAATTCCAACAAACAGTGTGGATATGCAAAGAAAACAAAGATTTTGGAATAGTTTAATTCAACAGCGTTCAGTTAAAAAATCAGATAACAATTACATTCTAGCGATATAAAGTAGGTCTAATGCATTTTCAAATAAAATATTTGAGCTTAAGACTCAAGAAGAATGTAAATACAGTAATGACTTCAAAGACTGTACAGATTCAA